AAATAAAATTAAAATAACAAAATACACTCTTTGGTTCCAACAATTCTCCCAATTTCTCATAAAAAATTTCACTTGCAAATTGTTGGAACAGTTGAAAATGATAAAAGTAAATATAGTTAAATCAATAGGATTATTTGCTTTTGATTATTAATTCCATTGCTAGTTTTTCTTGTGTTTTTATTATGCATACCAGTTTTACAAAGTGCATGCTTTATTTTATTTTATTTTTTTAAATTTTGAACTGGCAAGCTAAAATGATCCATCTTTTCCTGCCTTTTTTAAATGTTAATACAATCTAAAACCTAGCGTTAAAAAATTTATCATGATACACCTGGTATATTGACTGCGTATGGCGCATGCTTGTCTTGGCAAAAAATAAATAAAAACCCAAACCAAATTGGCTGCCCTCCCACCCTCCCCATTCCTTTTGGAAGCAATCTAAAAGTTTAAAGCAAGCTGGAACACAATTGCTTCAAGGGAAAAAAAAAGAAAAAAAAAAAAGAAAAAAAAAGTAATACCTGATGCTTTGATTTTTTGTCACATGGCACTAGTTGTGGAATTGCACGCGCACACACACGCACGGACGCACTCAACACGCACGCACGCACGCTGCAACCTGCTCGTGAGGAAAATATAGTTTATTAGGTCAGGAGTGCCAGCGGCACATGAAGGCTCCCAGCTGTGTGTGCAACTTTGGATTTGGTACCCACTTCACGTCACCTTGAACCCTCTGACATCCACCGAGGGGGTAATGTAAGGCATACTTTGCTGGAACGGTAAAAATCCATGCTTCATGCTCAAGAGCTGAGTCTCAGAGGAGGACTGGCTTTCTCTACTCCCTTTGGCCTCGCTCCGTCTCACTCAAGGAACAAAAACAAAGAAAACAACCCAAACAACGGAGAAGAACTGGGGAAAACAAGGGAAGCAAAAGAAGACAAATCCCTTTAAATGGACTTTCGCCTTTTCATCAGCCTGTGGTTATCCGTAAAGCTGTGCAACCCAGGTGAGATGGAGCTGACGGGAGATGGGAAAAGGCTGTTTTTTAATGTGCTTGGAGAGATCTCCTCTATCTTGTAAGAGATGGAGTGAAAGTACTGGGGGTTCAGCTTGGAGCTGAATGAATTTTGGTGGGACACCACCCGGCTGGTGTACTCGTGGGACCTGTAACACATGCAGGAACAAACGGACTGAAGGTCTGTTACTTCGGCCTTGTACCGGGGCCGACCATGCTGGGAGTCCTCTTGGATGTGGATAATCATGCTGTTGCGGTTCCCTGCCAGGGACGCCCGTTCCTCGGCATCCCGCCTCTCGTCCTCGCTGTTCATGGTTAAGAACCTGAGAACAACCAGATTTAGAAATGCCCCGATGACTGTCAACCCCACTAGAATGTACATAAAGCTAAAAGCCACGTAGAGCGGCTTCTTCTGAAGGGCCCCTTTGGTCTGCAGGGCCACATAGTCTCCAAACCCTATCGTAGTCAATGTTATAAAGCAGTAATAGTAAGCGTGGAAAAAGCTCCATTCCTCGTACTGGGAAAAGGCTGCTGCTCCAATGCAGAGTGTTCCCATGCAGGAGAAGAAACCCACAGTGACCATGTTTTCCATGGAGACCTCGGTGCTCCTCATCCCACAGCACTTTTTGATGCGTTTCAAGAGGTACTTGACGAAGGTGTTCATGCGCTCGCCCAAGCTCTGGAACATGACGAGTGTCAGTGGGATCCCCAGGACCGCGTAGAACATGCAAAAGGCCTTCCCCGCGTCCGTCCCTGGGGCAGCATGTCCATAACCTGGGAGGGGGAAGGAAAAGATGGGACAGTCAGCAAGGCAGGTGATGACCACAGCTCCCCCGTCATGCAAGCCACGTGAATCACAGAGACTCTTGATGGCACAGACAGATCCAGCACTATGGGAACATGGCAGTCACGGAATCTTCCTATCTCCTCATCCACACCCTGTGTCTGAAGCAATTAAGACACAGAACAACAAAGCTGTAGACACAGGAGTGTGGGAAAGGTGAAAGAGCGGACGATCCATCCTACCTCAGACAACTGTGCAAGTCTCTTAAACAAGATCATATGGTGTTCATTTGCTAAAGAAATTTCATGTCCATTCAGTTATCACATGCAATAGTGGAAAATTTGGAAATAGGTGGACTTTTCCACAGTATTTTTGAGAAGAGTTGGCATTGCCATGTCCCAAAACCAGAGTACACTGATGGCATCCAAACTCTGTGTTTGCTGGCAGCATGGATGTGACAACATCCACAGACCAATCAACAGAAGAAATTCCTTTTCAAACTCTTCCATACCAAACAAACCTTTCTCCTAGACACTCTATGGAAGCCACTGACTGCTGGAACACCATAGGACTCTAGGGATTTAATGCTTGCTCTACTTTTAGTTATTGAAGAATAAACAACCTTTTTTATAGTTTTACATCTAGCCTGGCAAAGGCCATTTCATCAGAATGTTAAAGTAATCCAGGACAGAGTATGTAGCATGTTTCACAGCATAGTTTACAGACAACGAAATCATGGTTAAGCCTTTATTCCAAATCAAACAGTAAGTCTCTGGGGGCTGTTTTGAAATTATAATTTCACTTTTTCCCATCAAGCAGCTTTAAAAAAATCTACATTTCTTATGGCTGAGATTCTAAGCGACAGTACCAAAGTCTCCAAAATGGGATGGCTGGGACTCACCTGGCCATGGTGCACATTGACCATGTGGGTGCCACTATCTAGACTCCCCTTAAAGCCAGTTAATAGAAATACACACTTCACAAGTGCAGTTTCTCTCATCCACCCCTGGGTGTCTAAAAAAGGCCAATGAGTTATTCTCAAAAGACATTTATTTCTCCACAGTCACTATAATAGAAATCTTTGGACAGAACTCAGTTCAAGATTAAGCCACCTAATTTTTGTTATCTACATGTGTGCTCAGTGTCCAAGCTCCCACTGCAGTCAACAAAGATTTAGTGAAAACAGGCAGCAGTGAGTTACTTAACTGACCCTTCCAAGTCTGCCTTATGATGAGATGAAATGACAGGACTGACTGTTCCAGTGACTGTATTCACTAGATCCCTGTCACACTGACTAGACGTGTGTTGACTGCAGAAGAGTTTAGACACCTGCTGCACAGGTAGACAACTACCCGTCAAATACAAACATCTTAAATCATGCGTAGAGCTCCACCTTCAGACTCACTCCTGTGCAGGTGCCTGCTTTGTAGACACGGAGGGTTTAAATCAGTTTTCAAGAAAGAGGTATGTAGCTATCGCCCCTGAGATATCAGGATATCCATACAGGGCTGGCAGAGGAGACACTGGCCGTACAGAAGACCCACACTCTCACATATCAGAAGCTGGAGGCCAGACAGTACCTGAGATACCACAGAAGCAGACCAGGAGAGCACGGCCATTCCCTGCCGACCATTCTCCTCGTACTGCCTCAGCGCTGCCCATCACCTTTAGTCTCAGGTCATGGACCTGCTGCTCTGAAATCGCCTTAATGCTTTTTCTGAAACTCTTGACACTACCCACCTCTTCAATCTCCTGTGGAAACAGATTCCAGAAGTTCACTGTCTGCTGCCTAAAAAAGTACTTCGAAATTTCAAGCAGATCTCCGTGTCTCAGCTACTGCCCCTTAGCTCTAGTATCAAAGTTCTATGTCTACCTTTTCTACCACCTTCACGACTTCAGCCAACCTCAGCTTTATCTCTCCTCTCAGTTTTTTTCTATCTGAACTGCAGCCACAGCCGAAATCGCATTCCCTTGATCATTTCAATGTCCTTCTCTAGCTCTACTACATCATTTCTGAGGTGCAGAAACCGGAACTCCACACAGTGCTCAGGATGTGGGCACACCATGGAGCCCGCAGTTTTGCTAGAACAAAAATATGAACATCCATCAACCTTCAAAATAAAAAAAGCAATAGTGGACAAGAAAAATAACTGAAAAAAACAGCAAGAATGCCCTCCAAAAAGCAACAGGCATTTTCTTAGCTTGGTTGCTTGTTGTTGGCAGGTGGATGGGATATAAAAAAAGGATCACAAAAGAAGCACATAACTCAAAATAGAAAGTTCTTTTCAGGTTACAAAACAAAGAGGTTCACTGTTGCATTGGGCCAGGTATCTTATTCATCATAAAAAGCAGTTTCCAAATTACCTGGAAAGGGAAGTGTCTTCAATAGATTGATGCTGGGTTTGTTCCACCTGACTGTCCCTCAATAAAGGCTGTAATTGCCTCTCATTACTAAGATCAGCTTTTGAACTACAGGGGTGTTAATTAAACTGGGGACATCTTTCCATTTTATAGCTTTAGTTACAGCTGATGAAGAGAAGGAAAGCTTCAGAAAATGTGATTTTCCAGATGGCTGCAGAGATGGCAGTTGGTGGAAACAGCTTTCATTTTGGGTTCTAAAGAATATGGTTGAGGTGAAAAAAGATTTCTTTTGATATCCCTATACCCCTCTCACTAGAGAGATATCCACAGAGCCAGTTTAGGGAGATTACAAAACATTAATATTACACGCTGACATGCTATTTCACATTTGAACTTCTAAGATTTGTCACAGACTTTGTAATTAACTTGGGACTCACAGCTCTCCCATAAGATAGGAATGTATCCATGTCCCTGTTTTACAGATAGGAAAGCACAGACACTGTCAGGCTGTAATTTCTCTCCAATTCACATAGGTAGACAGAATATCCCCAAATTCTGATTTCTATTCTGCCCCATGTCGTACTCACTTTCCACAATGTCAAATAAATGTCTTTTACTGTATTTTTGCCATGAAGTTGAGGTAAAGAAAGGACATTATTCATGAAGCTGGAATAAGACTTTAGAAAAAGATTCATGTATAGGGGATCATAGTCACATATTTCTCCAGTAGCACATGGCTTTAAGGAATAGGTACCTTAGCCTTTGCCTTCAGCACTCTGAAATGAGGAATTTCAAAATACACCAAAGACAGACTAACCTCTCCATTACTTTAGCATTACAGAATCTACCCAGCAATACACAGAGCAATGCATGAAAAGCAAACTCCAGCCAGTTCTCTGCAATTCAGTAAATCTCCAATTAAAAACAAACCATTGTCTTCTTGACATCAGAGACTGCTTCTGGGAAAAATACGAAGGGCAATAATTGCCAGGTGAAGAGGGTCACAGAGGATCATTAACGCCAGGAAACAGCCCTCCACAGTGCACAGGGCCAGCCTCCAAGTAGGGGGTTTTACTTGTGTCAAGTACAGGCAGAAGCAGAAGCAACCGCTTCGGTGGCAGATTTCAGCTACGAAAATTCAGCCTAGTCTCCTCTACATGAATAGCACAGCCCTTTGCCAGAGAATAAAGAGGTGGTTCCACATGAACCTTAAGAAACACTAGGCTTAAAAACAGAGAGGTTAAACATGGTGCTGGTGTTTCTCACTCTTATAACAAAGAGAAGACATTAAATTTAGGTATAGCAAATGCATCCCCTAACAAGCCAAGGAGCTGAGATAACAGCGAGAAAGGAAGAGATATTTTATGAGGTATAATTTGAAAGCTCAAGGACAGTATAAACAACTTTCACCTTGTTTGGAAAGGGTGTCATTAGTACTCTCTCGATCTTTTATAATATCTCACAGCTTCTTGGCTTTCAAGATAGAGCTCATCTGGTTTGGCATCAAGAAGACTTAGTTTGGCATGAAGAAATGTCACATCTCAGAGAGTTACTCTAATTCCGGAGTGCAGAGCACTAATGTACCATACAAGGTGTCTCCTCCCAGTTTTGGAAGGGCTGACCTACAGACATTAAGCAGAACTGCATGAAGGTGTAGGCAAGAGAGTCAAAGGATCAGACCATCAGGGGCTGACACCAAATGAGTACTCTGTTGAGGTCTTCTCTGCTTTTGGTTTTTCCAGGCCTTGTTTGTTCTACAGCGAAAAACTCTCAAAGATCATGTGCATCTAAATGTAATTCTAGGAAAAAAAAAAAGGGAATACTCTTTTCTTATTTGCCAGAATATAGCTATGAAAGTCTGTGGAAAACCTACTCAGCCTCCTTCAAAGCTTATTTTTACATGCTGCCTTTCAGATGAGACACAGAGAGAAACTCCTCATTACAATCCATGTGAGGTCCATTCTAGGGGAAAACCCAAAGTTTCCTCTCACTTCTAAAGGGATATTGTGCTGGGGTCCCAGGCCACAACCACAGCATGTAGCAGAACACAGTGCACAGTTACTTGGAATCCAACAGTAAATGGCTGGGGAAGAATAGAGGAATGGCATCACAACGATATATGATATTTCCCCCAAATATTCGTGTACCTAGTTTCATCCTTTGGAGCTCAGCTATCTCCTATGCCAGATATGGTTACAACGGTTTTAGTAACAGACAATGGATTTCTTTTCCATGAGCATTGTCCCTTGAATGTGCATAAACTTTTAGTATCACCTGTAAATATCCTGTGGCAAGAAGGTTTGTAGATCAACCACGTGTTCTTTAAAAAAAGTCACCATCACTTTTTTTTTTACTTTGAACTATTATCTGATGTCCTTACCTCCTCTATGGAAGAGACGAGGAATACTCATTCTCTACTCCCCTTCTTTGTGTTCATAGATATTTTATCAACAAAAATGCCTTGTCTGCATTCAGGCCCTGAGCAAGTATCTCTGGCACTGTACAGCCTCATGTGGACAGACTGGCTTGCTTAGCTCTACATCGCTCTCTATAACTCTCTGAAAGAAGGTTGTGGCGAGGTGGGTGTCAGTCTCTTTTCCCATGTAACAAGCGATGGGACAAGAGGAAATGGCCTGAAGTTGCACTAGGGGAGGTTTAGATAAGATATTACGAAAAAATCCTTCATAGAAAGGGTTGTCAAGCACTGGCACAGGCTGTCCAGGGAAATGGTTGAGTCAACATTCCTGGAGGTATTTAAAAGCTGTGCAGATGTGGTGCTCAGGGACATGGTTTAGTGGTGGACTTGGCAGTTCTGAGTTAATGGTTGGAGACAATGATCTTAAAGGTCTTTTCCAACCTAAAATATTCTATGACCGGATCAGTGATCTTTGCACTACACCCATCTGCAGGGTAAAGAATGACCTGTAAAGTCTCTTGAGTAACACTTCACTTCTGAGGCAAAAAGGGTCTCGATACAGAATTTCTTGCTATTGCAAGACTGCCCAGAATAAGTACATCTGTAATAAAAATAAAACTATGGGAAAAAATCCTGAATGCTTTCAGCATGTTGCACCTACATAGTGACCACCAGCAAGACTGCAAGGCGATACTGACCGTGGCAAATTGAATTGGGACAAGGGATATATTCAGTGGATTGTTCATAGTGTAATACCGTTATCACAATTCCTGTCTTGGCATTACCTTGGACCAACCAGCACTGTTCCAGGCAATGTCCCTGCCTGGCCTACCCATGGAGGTTAATGCTGGCCAGGGACCCCTCCAACTAAGCACCACTCCAGGAGAGTATGTGTATTTAGCTGTTACTGGTGCTCTCCATGCCACCTCTGCTGGCATCCATGTCTTAAAAAACACAGGTCCTGCTCTACCAAGTACCATAGATGGAGCCTGCACGGTGCAAAGTAAAGAGTGTTTTTTTACGCTGGGCGCTGTCAGAGATTGGGACAGGTTTGTTTCCAGATGCGCACTGGTACCAGGCCAAATATATAGTCAGTGTTGAAAAATAAAAATGAAATGTGGCAGTTTTAAGTTATTTATAGGTTGCATTCAGCTGCGGAGCAGCTAAGTCTCGCTCACATTCACATTCAATGTACAACAGGTTTTAGACATCTTGTATCTTGAAGTAACGCTCTGCGTTATTCATGAGGGATGCTTTATTTCTTTCAGGAGTAGGTTTCTCCCCTCATTCATCTACACATCATTCATCCCTCTGATGGACTTTTGGGCCTGGTCATCTCTGACAGCAGCCTCCAGAAAGAAATGAACTATTCTATCCCTGTGACTCAAACCGTTCTTACTCATGCTGGCAGCAGCCCTGGCTGTCAGATAATGAAAATAGGATAAAGGCACCTGTTACTCAGATGAGCAAGCATAATTCAGATTAAAACATCTTCCTGATGTCACACACTTCACTTCCGAGGTTCATCTACGTCAGAGAAACTGCCTCAAAGAACAGGCTGGCTTTCTGCTGGATTTGCTGCTTGTGCTTGCAGCAGGGAGAAGAAACAATGTGGCCTTTGTGGTGCAGATGAGAGGTTTCTGTAGGGATCATCTAACTAACTGGTGGTGACTCATTCACCAGGACACAGGCATTCTCCTGTCAGGCAATCGAGAGCACACCATGGGTGCTGTTGTTACCTGGGTGAAAGCTTCTATGTAACTATACCAGCCTCCTGCCACATGAGCACCACTGACTGCTCCCTCTTCTCTCTCCTAGATGTCTTAGTTTTCCTGAATCCTGCTGCCTTTCTCCCCAGATATCTCCAGGACCCCCTTTTTCTTTCATTCCCTTGTCAGTCAATCTCACTGCAGCACATCAGTCAAATAATCTCTCGTAGTTTTTGCACAGGTTCCCCTTCCATCCTCGAAGACAT